CTGCAGCGGCGGGCGAACGAGCCGAAGAAGGAAGGGACTAAAGCCAGAACTGCCTCCAGGAGGCCCCCGACAGGCCTCGACGAGATCCCAACGAACATCCAAGAGGTCTAGACCCACCACCAAGGCACATTGGCGGGATGGGCCGAAGGCCATTACCGTCTTGGCCGTCTTGGGGCTCTCTCGGGAAACTCTTGGGCCCCTCTTGATAGCCTACGTGGGCCCTTTGGGGGCTCTCCTGGGACCGTCTCGGAGCCCTCTTGGAGCCCTTTTGGACCGTTTGGAGCTCCTCTGGGGCTGTCTCGGAGCCCTTTTGAAGTGTTTTCGGGCCCTTTTCGGGGGCCTCTGGGGCCGTCTTGGGACGATATTTGGATCTACATGTATATATATATATATATATACATATATACATATATATATATATATATATGTATACACGTATATCTATATGTATGTAAATATATACACATATATATATATATATATATATATATGTGGGTACCTGCATTCATACATACATACATACATACGTACGTACATACATACGTACGTACGTATGTACGTACATGCATGCATGCATACATACATACATACATACATGCGTGCATACATACATAACATAGTGTACCATATCATAACATAACATAACATGAAAATAGCATTGTATATCATAACACGTCATGTCATAACATAACATACCGTAACATAACATAACATGTCAAGCCTATCATACTGTATCAAAACATAGCATCACATATCATAGCAGAATGTAACATGGTATAACATAACATAACATATCATAGCATAACATAACATAGCATGGCATACATACATACATACATACATGCATGCATGCATGCATGCATGCATGCATGAATGCACGCATACATGCATGCATACATACATATATATATATAAAGTAAACAAACATATGTACATGCATACACCTATACATGCATGCATGCATACATACATACATACATGCATACACATATATGTATATGTATATGTGTGTGTACAAACATATATATATATATACATACATACATACATGCATACATACATGCACACACATACATACATACATACATACATACATACATACATACATACATGCATGCATGCATGCATGCATGCATACATACATACATACATACATACATACATACATATATACATGTATACATACATACATACATACATACATACATACATACATACATACATACATACATACATACATACATACATACACACATACATACATCTAGACTATGTTGTTTGCCCCTGGGGGCCCGTCTCGGGAGCCTCTGGAGAGCCGTTGGAGCTGTTTCGAGGCTCTCTTGGATCGTCTGGAGGTCGTCTGAGGCTCTCTTGGGGCCGTCTTGGGGCCCTGTGGGGCTGTTTTGGGGCCCTCTTGGGCCGTCTTGGGGCCCTCGGGCCGCGTCATTCGAACAAATTATAAAGAAACGGGCCATGGGAGCCGCCCGGGGGCCTCTTCATTCGGAAAAATACAGAAAAGAAACGGGCCATTAGATCCGCGGCGCGCGCTCCTCGCCCCTCCTCAGCACTCCTCCCTAGAGGGCTTCGCCCCACCAGAACGTACATCACTCGTACCTCGCTCTTTCCGCTACCTGGGCCGGCACGGGGACGGAAAGAGCGGACCGGGAACTTGCCCGACAGGGCTCACGGCACCCTTCGCTCTTGGGAGCTTTGGTGGTAAGAGCTCGTTACGTCACCGCTCGCTCTTGGGAGCCTTGGTGTTCCGACTTTTACGTTGCCGCTCGCTCCTAGGAGCCTTGGTGTTGAGAGTTGTTTACGTCACCGCGCTCTGCGGAACCTTGGTGTTCAGAGCTTGTTGCGTCCCCGCTCGCTGGGGGGAACCATGGTGTTCCTTGGCGTCTCTGGGGTTTCTTGGGAACCTATTGGGAGCCGTTTTGGACCGTTTTGGGACTCTCGGGCCGTCTTCGGGCCAGCCCAATCCCTACACCAAAGCAGCCCAGACCCATACCGCCTCGTCGGGCCCGCTTGGTCGGGGCCCTTTTGGGGTTCTCCTGGGGCCGTCTGGGGGCCTTCTGGGCCGTCTCGGGGCCTTCTTGGCTCGTTTGGGGGATTTCTTGGACCGTTCTCGGCCCCTTTGGGGGGCCTCTGGGCCGTCTTGGGGCGATCTTTGGGGCCTCTCGGGCCGTCTTGGGCCCGTCCGGGGGCCACGTCAGTTACAGGAAGATGACGAATTCTTGCACGTCTGATTGACGACCTGGAATAGTTCTCAGCGCTGCCTGCAGGAGCAATGCTGTGAATGGCTTGCGGGCGCCGCCGCAGCTGGGCAGTCTTTGCGCTGCGATGCCGGCGCGAGTCGGGGGTGGCACCCTGATTCTATTCTTGTTTCAGCGCGTTTGGGCCTCGCGAAGGCCCCAAAATCTTTACAATTCCCGCGGCCGCCGCGCGCGCGGCCGGTCGTCGCGGCAGCAGCGCCAGCCGAAGAGCTCGTTCGAGGCACGCGCGCGCGTTTCGGGGGCGCCGGCCTGGTCGCGAGCAGCACTTCTCTTGATAGGCGGCGAAGCGCTGTCTGAGCGACAGAGTGCCTGCAGAGGAGCTCTCCGGCGAAGTGCGCAGCAAAATTAGGGACGTCGGAAATTTCTAGAGCTGCGTCTGCACTGTCAGCAACGCGTGCAGAGTCATGTACTGCATTGTGTTCAAGGATGCACAGCTGATCCTCATAGTCTTCATTTGCTGCTCGCATTTGAGGGCAAGTGCTTGTGTTTCATGCATAGATGCACCCGTCTTCCTGGATGAACCTCGCGCTGATTGGAATGAGAGACGGCATCGGACGGCGCGCGCAAAGTTCCAGGACGCAGTGCGAGCGGACGTCGGGATCGCGCTGAGGCCAAGCGGGGACGGGAGAGATACTAGAGAGAGCGTGACCCCTCCCCCCCCCGGGGTTTCAAAGACGCGGGCCAAGCACGATGGCGACGCGACACTGCACACAGTGTCAAGAGCCCACATGATACCTCAAGGGACAGGGGGACTAGAATTCAAAAGACAGCCCCCCTTACTTTCGTGCCCCTTGAGGTCTGAAACTATAACAGGCACAGAGCAAGCACTGCGCCCGCGCAGAACGGGCCCCCCCCCCCCCGGCTCCCCCCATGAAAGTACCCCCGAACACGCTCCCAGAGAGACGGGGACCGGACGAAGGACCTCGGGCGGGCGCAGACCTCGCCTTCCACGAGCTCCTGCCGGCACGGGCCCCTCCTCCTCCTCCTCTGGGCCTCCCTCGCGTCGAACGCCACGGGCATCCGATTAACACCAGCTGCGCTCACGGGGAGACCACGCGAATCCGCCGGCCGCCTCGGCGGCCCTCTTCTCTTTCAGAGCGACGGGTACCGAATGAGGACTTCGGGCGGGTGCCGAACTCGTCTCACACGAGCTCTTCCGCTGCCTCTCCTCTTTCTTCCGCACCTCCTCTCCTTTTTTTTCCGCGCCTCCTCTCCTCGTTTCCCCCTCCTCTGCTCCCTCCTCCGCCACCTCCCTCTCGGGTCCTCTCTCCGAACGGGCTCGCAGCTTCAGACTCTTCCTGCAGCAACGCATTCCGGGAGGCAGCCCCGATGCATCAAGTCGGCCAGGGCGAAGTTTCCTCCAACGGGATCGACCTTGTTCATACATTCCGAAGGCGTCTTACAACGGGGGGCCCAACGGATCACAGCGCGTGAAGCCGTCATGGTGCCCCGGACGATAGCCATCCCGACGGCGTCGCGACGATCTGCCTTTGCCCCGCCGCAGTTCTTGGACACTGCGCCAAACGGAGACTTCGCGTCGACAACGGCGACCCCGCTAGCGGCCACTGCGAGCTCGCAGTTTTCGGCAAGAGCAACGGCAAAGCGGCAGGCGGCCCTGGGGCGCCAGTCGGGCCCCCGAACGTCCCCGACGAAGGCATCTCGGAACACGAGCCAGAGCCACTGTCCCTCAGCGAGCGCCCCAGAGAGGCTTAGCGTCTCGGCCGCGAGCGTGGATACCACGACCCGCCTCAGACGTTGACTTCTCCAGGACAGAAGAGACACTCGGACCCCCATGTTCCCCGCAACCCGCGCCCCCCCCCCAACATCGCGAGCCAGGCTCCCCAGGCCCCTTCCTCTCTGGCGGTCCCGGGCCCTCCCGCATCACTGCAGGCGATCAGCGTCACCGCGCTGAGGTCCAGGGGCCAAATCGCCAACGAGTTGCACGCCGCGCTGAGAAGATATCGGGCGACTTTGTTCGACATAGGAATCGAGGCAACAGTGACATCAGGGCACTCTGCACTGAGCATCGAGGCGGACCCAGACACGCTCGGACGAGACTGCCGCGCAGTCCAAAAAACTAGCGATCCGACCTCGATAGTCGCGGAGCCCCCCCTCGGTGAGCGGCCCCCCTGGGCCCCGAGCACGTTCCTTGGGGATTCTCATGGGCCTGACTTGTTCGAGAATGTATTTCTCCTGGTCCACGAGCATGCGACCATCCGTCTGCTGGCGGATCCTCTTCCCCGCGTACTCGGCCTCTCCGAGCTGCCACCTCCCGGAGTGAAATTGGCGGGTCAGCTTTTCCTTGATTTCCTGCTCGAAGGCGGGACTGCAGGCGATGATGAGGTCGTCTACTTCTATGACCACCAGTCCTGTCAGGCCCCCCGAGGGATTGTGAGATACCCAGAGACAGGGCTCCAGAAGGGACCGACGGAAACCCAGGGATTGTAAATAGGAGGTCAGAGTCTGGCGCCACCAGATGGGGGCATCGTTTAGCCCATAGACAGACGCCACCAGCTCCAACAGGGATCCTCGGGGAACGTTCACTCCGTCGCACGGTCCCACATAGATTTTGCCATTGGGGCGAGCAAGGGGGCCAGCCTGACAATAAGCATTCTTGGCGTCGGCAATCTGAAGCTTCCAGTCCAGGCCAGCAATCAGTTGGAGGGCTACAAGCACGGCCTCTTTTGGGGGGTGGGTGCGTACACATGGCGGAACTCGGCATCGGGG